GGGCGCGGCCGCCGAAGCCGCCGCGGCCGCCGCGGCCGCCGCCCGCGGAGGAGGGCGGGGGGGAGGGGTCGTGCGAGGCTTCCGAGCCGCTCTGCGCCGCGGCGGCGCCGTTGGCGGCGAGGGGCTCGCCGCCCCAGCCGGCCGGCGTGGCGCCCGCAGGCTTTTGACCCGCGGGGGCCGGGGCGCCGTTGGCGCTGCCTAAGGGCGGCGGCTGCGACACCCCGCGGCGCTTGGACGCAGGGGCCTGGATTGGAGCGAAGCACAAAGGGTGGGAGGTCGTGCGCCTGTACAGTAGCGAGCTGCAGGGCCCACCACGCCGCGGGAATGCCTGCAAAACGCAGCAGGAGGCCCTGCTGCACGGGCCGTACCTGGCCCAGTACAGCACCACCAAGCCCCTTCTCGCGTCCCGCAGGGCGTCGCGAGGCCCCTCGGCGGGGCCGCCCGCGCTGCAGCAGCGGCCAGGTCAAAACCACCGCCCGCCCCGGTCAGCGCGCTCACCGGCTCCTGCCTCCGCAGGCCGCTCGCGTCCACCTGAATGTCCGCGGGCGGCACCTCCTTGCCGCTGCCGGCCCGCAGCGGCTGCAGTGCGCCGACGACGCCTGAGGCGCGGGGGCAGACGGCCGCGGGGGTGAGCCGGGCGCCGGGCTGGGGGCGGCGGCCCCGGGCGTGCGAGCAGGGGCGGGCTGCGCAGGGCGCGGCCGCAGCAGAGACTCCGCAGCGGCCTGGAGCAGTGCCGACGAGCAGGTTCACGGGCTTTGCTCCCAGCCGTTCCCTTGCGGCGACCCCCCCCCCTCCCAAAAAAAACAGCCCAACCTATTACCTGTGGATGTGCCGACCACCAGGTTGCCGCTGCTGTGCCACGCAATCGCGCGAATAGCGCCCGCGCCGGCCCCCGCATCGCCAGTGGCCCCCGCATCGCCGGCGCCGCCCGCCTTGGCGCCCTCCGCCTCGCCGTTGGGGGCGCCTGCCGCCGCAGCCTCGAGCACTGCCTCTACGCCTTCCGCCTGGGCCGCGCTCGCCTCCGCGGCGTTGGCGACCTCGCCTTTGTGGGCGGCTACAGCCTCGCCCTTCGCTGCGCTGTCTGCCCCCGCAGCCTCCTCGCCGCCCGCGCCCCCCTCGCCCTTGCCCTCCGCTGCAGCGCCGACCGCCTTGCCAGCGTCTGCCGGGGCCTCCTTGCCGGCCGCTGCCGGCGCACCACCGGCGCCGCCGGCGCCGCCGAGCCGCCCGCGCGCCACGTGCGCCACCACACCAGGTGCGGCCCCGCTGGTGCTGAATGCATCAGAGTCAAACACCAGGCACAGGCCCCCCTCGCTGGCAGCAGCCTGAAGGAAGACGGGTGGGGTGCGCGGCGGGCATGTCAGCAGATGAGCACCATCTGATGGCTGACAGCAGCAGGTGCGACCCCATGTGGGCCACAGAGCGATCAGCTGGCCCAGACACAGGAGTGCAATGCCTGCAACCGCCCCTGCTGCAGAGCTCGCAGACCAGCGTGCTGATTTCATGACCACCGGCAACTGCCGCAGGACACAAAATGCGCACTCTCCGCTCGAGCAACAGCCCCACCCTCACCAGCAGGGTGCCGTTCGGCTGAAACGCAAGGCACGTGACCGCGTCGCCCTCCTCAAACCCGCCGAGCGCATAGGTGCTCCCCGCGCGCCCCTCCTTGGCACCCGCCACGTCCCACACCAGCACCCGGCCGCCGGCCGCCGCCGCCAGCAGCGCGCTCGACGCGTCCCACGCGAGCCGCGTGACGGGCGCGCCGCCGAGGCCGTCGGAGATCACAAGCAGCGGGTCCATGCTGCCCTCCTGCTGCGCATCCCACACTTGGACCTGCGACAGCGGGGGACGTGCCGAAGTGAGGGCTAGTCAGGCCGGAATCGCTTTGTGTGGGGCAAAACATCTCAGCGCGACATGGGGGGGGGGGGAGGGGTTGGGCAATGGGGCTCCGCGAGGGGAGCGCCGGTGCGCCCGCCGCATGCCGCGTGCTGCGCCCCGCGCGCGCGCCCACCGTGTCGTTGCCGCATGCCGCCGCGAGATAGCGGCCGTTGGGGCTCATCGCGAGCTGCGTGATGGGCGCCTCGGGGTTGGTGGCGAACGTGCCGACCTCCTCGTACTGGTCCTCGTCGACGCGCCATATGGTGGCCTCAGAGCCGCAGCAGCCCAGCACGCTGTTCTCGTCCAGCCAGGTCACGTGCTGCAGCGCGCCCGCCGCCGCGTCGCCCGAGACGTCTAGCGTGTGCAGGTGCTCGCCGCCGGTGCCAAAGATGCAGAGCAGGCGACCGCTGACGGCGGCGACGAAGCCGCCGCGGGAGCAGGCAACCTCGGGGATGCCGAGGTCGTGCGCGCCGCCGGCGCCGACAACGGCCTGCTGCCCGTCGCCGCGGGGGAACTGCGTTGAGCAGAGCTCCTCGCCGCTGTCGACCTGCCACCACTTCAGAAAGCCGTCGGCGCCGCCCGACACAACATCGGTGCCCTTGCAGCTGAACGCGGCGGCGGTGAGGCCCGCGGGCTGGCCCCGCAGCTCACGGCGCAGCTCAAACTTTGGCGGGCCGTCGAACAGGAAGACACTCGACGCTGTCGCCGCTGCAACTTTGCCCCGCTGCGACAGCAGGATCGCGTGCACATCTCCGCCGCACGCCGCGCTCCATGTGCGCTTCAGCTCCGGTTCCCAATGGCTTCCCATCTGACTGCTTGGCTGAGCCCGCTATTGGGGCAGTAGCTCTTACTCTCGCTTGACGCTGTGGTGCAACGACGTAGGGGGCCCCGCAAGGAGGGCAGAGGAGAAGAGGGGCGCTCGGAATACAGACTATTAGTTACTAAGCCCAAGCCGCGCGGCCAGACAGCGCCCAGGCACGCGTTCAGCCACCGAGGACGACGAGGGCACACTCCCAAGACTAGCCGCTTGCCAACGCCGGCCCCCCACCTTAGGGGCTCCACAGGCACAAGCCCAATACCAGCTCTTAGCAATGGGCCGCGACACGCGGGCAGCTTGCTCTAGCTCGCTGCACCAGACACTCAGGCGCATCCAGGCCTGAGCGCGCACTCCTCTGAACAAAGACCAATGAGACTTAGCAGGTTTGTGACTGGTCGGTTCGCAACACGTTGTGTTGCGAAACTCGCTCGCCCGCTGGCTGGCTGATCTGGCCAGTAGCGAAACTCCGCTCGCGGGCCTCTAAGACGTGAATTAAAGAGAGGCTCTGCTCAAAAGACTATGGCTATGGTTCACCTAGTTCAAAGGAAACACCGGTAGCATTCGCAGTGCGCCACTTGCGGTGGGTAATCAAGGCCGTCAGTCGGGACTGCCGTGAACTGTGTGCGAGAGATATTGTCTTGGAATAAAATTGCTTTGATCGCTCGTGTTCACCCGGAGGGTCCTCCACATCGCTGTGCCTTGTGCCATCGCACCTGACCCGCCGGGGTGGCGGTCGGCTCGGCTCGTCGCGATCGGCAGGCGCATCGACCCGCCCTCATCAAGGGCGCATAGACTCGTCAGACTAATGGAATGCGTTGCGCACTGTAGAATGCAGCCGTCAGCTGTGCTGCGCGCTGCAATTGTGCTTGTTTGTGGCCGCATTGACTGCTGCATTGACCGTGCCAACGCCCGGAAAAAATCCACTCAACCCAGGGTGTGAAACAGGAGCTCGTGCACTGGGCCCTGCGCCAAGGAAGATAGTCGGCTCCTATGTTTCTTTTTAGCAGCAGTCTTTCGCAGCAGGCCCCAAGCTGCACAGTGCGAGCTAGAATGGTTGACGCATGTTCGAGGAAAAATGCATGACGAGAAATGCATGCAGAGCAATGCATGGAAAGCAACAGCCAGCACGGAACAGCCCACCTGCCCCGTTCACGCTCATGCATCGTTGGGAGTATCTGACTGTCACTTACACTGGATAGCAAAACCAGAACAGGAACTCGGATGGCGAAGCAAGCAGGAAGCAAGGATACGCGAGCTAGTGGGGGCAAACGCTGCACCTGGTCGGACGGAATTGGGACCTAGTACACACACGTTTGATGGGTCCTGTTCAACATGCACTTGCAGAAAGTCACATTGGGCACTTCCCCTGTAATCTGTACATTGATGATACACTTGCATTGTATGTGACTGAGCAATGTCTCTGGGGGTCGGAACAACCTCCATACCACCTTGAAATTGGCTCGGCCAACGCCTTGCTGTCGCTAAACAGCACAGCGGGCGGTGCCCATGCATGCACAGATCAAGAATGAGGCCTGCAGTGTGGTGGCCTGGTTGGAGTGTCAATCTCAACGCTATGAAAAGCAGCATACACCTGCTGTCGGAGTATCCTCCTGTACACTAGAGGCATGCAGCATGGGCCTTGTGTGTCATGCGATGATATACACTGCTGCCCTCAATGCAGCCTCCCCAGATACCCTCGCCCTATAACAGCGCATGGCATGCGCTGCAGCAAACCTGGCATCTGACGCGCCCATGCGTGTGCTTCGACGCCCAGCCCTGGGCAGCACGGCGCGCGGCGGGCTCCAGTTCCCCCAGTATGTCGGTTGCTGCCGGGCAGCGGGCCAGCAGCATCGCTCCTGTTGCCGAGCTCGGCGCCTGTTTGAGCGTCCGCCTGTCAGCAGCCAGTCGACAAGCCCCTCGTCACGCGCGGTCGAAAGAGAGCAAGGTGTTCTCGATGATGTCAGCAGCCTCATGGAGCTCTTTCTCTGACAGCACCAGCGGCGGCGCCAGCCGGACGGCCTCGCCGTGCGTCGGCTTGGTGAGCAGCCCAGCATCCCGCAGCGCCATGCACACCTCCCACGCCCCGACGCCGTCGCGAGGAGCGACCACGAGCGCGTTCAGCAGCCCGCGGCCGCGGACGGCCTTGACGCGGTCTGAGGGGATGGCGAGCAGGCGCTCGCGCAGGACGCGGCCCAGGGTGTCCGCCTTCTCCGCGAGCCGCTCCTCGACCAGCACCTGATGATGCACGTTAAGCAGGCAGTGGGGAAAGGCAGCAGCTTGGCCAGACAGGAAGGCAGTTGCTTTCGTGCTCGTTGTCCCCCCGTGGAGTTATTGCCTCTGCAATCTGTGGCGTCATCATGTCTCTAGCTACGCACGGCATGAGTGCGCCGCCCGGCGCGGCTTGAGACGCCGGGCCCCATCCTGCATGCGCCCCCCTGAGCGTTAGTCGGTCGAGACCAACATGCGCACCTCGAGCGACGCCTTGCCGACTGCGGCGGCGATGGGGTTGCCGCCATAGGTGCTGCCATGCTGGCCGCGGCCAATGGTCAGCATGATGTCATCGTCTGCCAGCACAGCGCTGATTGGGTACATCCCGCCAGACAGGGCCTTCCCTAGAATCGTGATGTCAGCCTGGGGGTGCGGGCACGATGAGTTCATTGTTTTACAGGAGGATGTGGTGGAGAAATCAGAGGCAATTTGGTGTTGACATTGACCAGGGTGATGAGGGATGATGGAGGGGCCATGGTAAACCGGAGGAGCGCCAGCACAGCTTGCACTTTGTTCCAGCTCGGTGCTGCCATGCATGCGCATGAAAAACGGCGCATGCGTAGGCTGCGGTTGTTTTGCGGCTGCACATAGTACCAGTGGGCCCCAGCTGCACCATCCGGCGGCCCCACGTTTCCGCGCTGCTGTGCACGCACCCATCGACCCATATGCCAGAACAGCAGCAGAGCCGCTCACCCTCGCGCCGTCCCACTCCTGGCAGAGCATCTTGCCTGTGCGGGCGAGGCCGGTCTGCACCTCGTCTGCGATAAGCAGCGCGTTGTGGGCCTTGAGCAGTGCGTGAGCCTTTGACAGGTAGCCCTCCTGCGGGATGATGACACCCGCCTCCCCCTGGCGATTATGGATTGTTGTGTGTGTTTATGGGGGGTGCTTTGAGGCCAGCAGAAGGGTGCTTATGTGGAGGTAATGCGACCTGCGGGAGGGAGTAGCGCGGTTGCTGGTGATGCCGACTGGTGTGGTCTCAACAGCCTGGTTGCACTCGCTGCAAGGGTTTGGATTGATGGATGATGGCGCCACGGATGACCTTGGCGGTACAGGCACTACCCCTTGGCACCATCAACTTGGGCAGAGCCGTCAGCGTGTACGTTTTAATCGCTGACCTGGATGGGCTCCACCATGAAAGCCACGATATTCGAGTCAGCCTTGTAAAGGGCGGGGCAGGTGAAGAGGCACAGGGGGGGGGGTGACATGAGCAGGGGCAAGACCATCACTGCGCAACACCTAGATTTCTGACGAGGCACGGTGTGGACCGTTCCAAGCTCGACAAACCAGCCGGCAGCCGCCTGCTGAGTGTAAATTGTCGCTGACTGGCATGTGCAGCGGTTTTTGCCCACCCCATCAGCCCAGGTCTGCCGCACGAGGCGGGTTCATCCCACCTTGAGCTTTGCCTCCAGGGCCTCCAGGTCGTTGTAGGGGATCACCTCAAAGCCGGGCATGTAGGGGCCTTGCCGAGGGAGGGAGGACGATGGCATGCACAGTTGTGTGTGTGCATATGTGGATGCGAAGGGCAGTGGCTCGCTGCCGCAGCGAGCCCAGCGGCTGGGCAGAATGTGAGTGTTTGAACAGAAGGCAGGGCAGTTTAATTCCTGAGATCCCACATTGCATAACAGAGTTCACATGGCAGTATTGTTACCACCACATGCATGACAGGTGTGGTGCTCCACACCGTTGCAGAAGCACCCAGGCGTATTTGCGAGCGGCAAAGCTTGCTGTATTGCGTATGCAACGCGCTGCACGTTCTGTGGCACGTGTCGCCCTCACCGAAGCCGGCGTAGCTGGAGGGGTCTGTGGAGGCCGATATGGCGCTCATGGTGCGGCCCCAGAAGTTGCCTGAGGCGAAAAGGATCTTGGCGCGGTCCTTGGGCACACCCTTTGATTGGATTGCAAGGGCGTGCACCATGCATACAGTGAGATTGACAGCCAATAGTAAATGTGTTGTAACAGGCAAAGGCAGGTTGAGTTTCCCAAAATTATATTTGTAATCAAAGAAAATGCAACCTGCCCTTCCCTGTTGGGCTTGACAGCACTTTTGGCGCCAGGGGCACAGCTCAAGCGACTATTGGTAAACACAGGGAGGCGGGGGCTGCCTCGCTGGGTCAGATGTCGAACAGAACGCATGCCTCGTTCAACCGCCACAACACCGTGACACAGCACGTCCTCGTCCTGCCACAAGACTGGTCATTGCAGGCATTGTAATCCTCTTTGCGTGTGGCAGCACGCTCCGACGCACCTTGACGGCGTACCCCCAGCGGCGGGCGAGCTTGCAGGCCGTCTCACCGCCCTCAACACCTGTGTTCATTGGGAGCACCTGGTGTGTATGGTGTGTGTGTCGCGCGTGTGTGAGCACACGCGCGCGTGCGTGCACTTGAACGCGAGCGCAAATGTTGCAAAACTGGTTGCTCGCGAACACAAAACGTGGGCATGCCGGATGCCTAGGCAATCCAAGACTGGAGTGGTGTGAGAGCGAGGGGGCATGACATGGGGTGTTGTGCACCCCGAAGCGCGCCCGCGGGGGAAGGGGCGGCTTGCTTGCACAAGTTCGTAGCACCACGGGCATGGGCGCGCCACCGATACCAATCGAGGCAAGACCTGTCACCACGCATGCACACACGTATGCAGAGACGCAACCTTTGGGTGCGCCGCACGCCGGCCGCACCTTGTCGTAGCCACAGAGGCGCGTGACGTACTCCTCGTATTCCCCCAGCACATCTGAGGTGGGTGGTGGGGACAAGAAAGGTCCTGCGGGTCGGATGATGACTCATGGAGGCTCCAGCCGCAATGAAGGGGTCGCGCAGTGGCGGACCATCAGGGAGGGCGCAAACAAGTGGGGTGAGCACGAGCTGCCAACGCCAGTTGCCAACTCACAGTGTGAGTGCCGGCAGGACTGGCAGGTGTGTCAACAATAGGCGTGCTTTGATTCAAATGGGCCCCGGTGCAGTCCCTCAACAACAGGATGGCCACCCAATTGCGAGTGCCGGCGGATGCGTAGAGGCAAGGTGCCCGTTGTGCATTTGCATCAACCGCACCGTTGTAGAAGGCGCGCGAGGTGAGGGCAATCCTGTCGGCCTGACCCTTGAAGGCAGCCACAATCTTGAATTTTGCGCGTGCGGGGATGAGGGCGGTGAGGTGAGAGCGGCAGATGGAGCACCGCGTACACAAGTTGTTTAGGCCAAGGCAGGAGGCCGAATGGCAGCACAGCGTGCGACACGCTGGCAGGCGTGCCACTGCTGGCGACAGCGCATCCACTGCAGGACTTGCGGCTCCATGCGCTGTTATATTCCATTTGGCGGCCCCTGCTAGCAGAGCGATGCCGTCACAATCACCGACCTTGGGGTGGCAGTGGCCCTGGTTGACCGCAGAGTACCCGCTGAGGAAGTCAAAGTATTGGCGGCCGTCGACGTCCCACACATGCGCGCCACGGCCGCGCTCGATCACGACGGGGATGGGGTGATAGTTGTGGGCGCCGTAGCGCTCCTCGCGGTCGATGAACTGAAGGGGGGTGGGTGCGCGATGGGTGAGGGTGCGAAAGGGGTTGAGAGGGGGCTGTGC